AATAGCTCTATGGACTACTCATACAACAGAAATAAACGTCGCATGGAGTTAGTGAAAAATGGAGCAAGTATTAAAACCTTTTTTTGTTTTATTTTAGGCCTTCTTCAAAATACCTATGCCACAGCAGTTGATTTTTTTGCCGTAAAACCAAAATAGTTTCATGCATGCCGACTTGCCGATCGGTTAGCGTGAGCCCTGACTGAACTCTGCAGAAAATCCACATCGAACTTCGCATCGCGATGTAAAACAAAATGTCGGAAAACTTTTCTTTGACGCATGCGCATTTGCATAAATGTCTACACATACGCACACACATACTAAAAAACAAAAGAAATGTGATTACAATAGTTCCTATTGCATTACATGCATAGGAACTAACAAAGGGTGGATGAGTGAGCTCTTCAGAGGCAACGGCCAACCATACCTTAGTTTAAGGAGTTGGGACCGCATTCTCAAATGCGGACTAATTTAATTCCAGGACTAAAGATAATGATTAAATCCTGAACTAATATAGTCCACTTTTCAAGAATATGGGTGTAGGAGTCTATTTATCCACACATTATTTTGATATTTATATACTGTACAGGTATATATTTTTTCAAACCTACTTTACATTTTCATGCGCATAAAGGTGACATGACAATATGTGCCTTATAACTCCACCATTATTATTATTATTACAACAGCACACATGCACACAATATATAGAAACACAACAGAAACATACATAGACACAACAGCAACACACATGGGCACAATACATAGAAATATAGCAGTAGTATACATAAAATATGCAAAACTACAGCAACACACAGGATCAAAATATTTAACTAAATATAATTATTCAACATTATTGTCAAATTAAAAACATAATTACAAATAAGGATAACAATACAACTTAAATTATTATCAGTTAGGTTGAAAGCTATTGAACATTTTCAGCCTATTTTCAGCAAGAAAAACCAAACTATTTGCAAACACATTCATCTCACTATACAATCAATGGCATCATTCTTTTTTTTTTTTTTATAGAAATGATGTCATTCATATAAAGATGTCTTCTCAAACTCAATTGTAATCATTACAATCCACACACAAAAAGTTTCAACAGAATAATACCAAAAGGTCAATGACCCAAATTGGAGGTCAATAACCCCAGATCATTATATCAATAACCTATACAAAAACTCATCACTACTTGCCCAAAACTCAGTGAGCAACTACACTTTACTTGCCCCATTAATCACTAGAATCAATCTGGGCAACCGCTTGCCCTCTACCACACCAGACTGCACCTGATACTCATTGGTGAAGCAATCTACTCAGCCCATACAACATTTGGCTGCCACATTATATAAAGTACAACATTTTGCTGTCATATTAAATAAAGTACAATTTTCTTTCGTCATTCCTGAGACACAACCTACACCTTGAACACTTTACCTCACATTGCCAACACACACTTAGTTACCATATAATCTTATTATGGGATATCAAAACCCAGATTTAGTGTTCAGGATACACAGTGCTAAAACAGATTACATTCCAATACTTAGTTTGTGAAAAGAAAGTATAATACATACTCCAAGTATTGAAATACTTGTTGGGATTCAACATTTCAACATTAATTATGTCATCATCAGATTTATTATTATACTTTCTTATCTGAGATTAATCAGTGGACCTTTCGGTAGTTTGTGAAAAGTAGCAGAATATTAACTATTCCACCTGATATACGTAAACTGGAGTTGAGTCATTAATTGGTCCACACTAATTGGTTATTGGTTATTTTTTAAAGCTAAATATTCATTAGTTGTTCTGTAATGTAAGTATACATTCATTGTTTGTCAACAAAATTGCATCAAGTTGAGTTGAAATATTGTAGGATTAAAAGTTGATTTTGTCTTCCCATATGAATGCTGTTTCATAGTTTCTGCTGTCTTTTCCTATAGGGTGTATGTAAACAGTCCCTCCGCTTTCCTATAGGACTGTATTTTCCGACAGTCCCACGTTATTAATACAGGATTTTGTTTCAACAATATACCTACAGAATTATATTCCCTATGTGTAAAACTTGACTACAAATTCCTCAAAGTTTTATAAAGGTTTTGAATTTCAAAATGGTGGATGACTTATTTATTCATCCGTCAATTTAAACTCTGGTCCATCTTCTGTTCATACGACATGAACACGTTATCGTGACTCTCCGATGAGCTTAAACGTAACAGATTTGTGCGACTAAATGAATTGGTTGGAGAAGGCATTCGTGTCGTCCTTGTGGGGGTAGGCGGAGTCAAACAAACTGGGGAGCCACACTCACTTTGTTGTAGTTTCCAAACGAGTTCCTCATTTTCCATTGAAAGGCGTTTCTTTTCCGTTGACTGTTTGTCTAACGTTTCCTTCAATGCTCTGTGTTCGGATGATAATTGTCTGCAAGATACGTCACAGAATTTGTCACAAACATCATGATTTGTTCATTCATGTTTATCAGATTTCTTGATGAGATAATATTCAATTTGAAATTTTTTTACTGTTCTAGTGACAAAATACACCTTGTATTTAAAAACAGGTAGAAATTCTAAAATTCAGAATTGAACACTAATACATTACAGAAATTAAATAAAAAATTTAGGTACCTCTCTAAATCGGCTTTCCTTCCAACAATTGCTTTTAATTCTTCAATACGTCGTTCATATCGTTTTATCTTTTCTTCATGTTCAGATATCACTTCAAGCTATTAATGCAAACAAAATAAAATAAAAAAGTGATAATGATTAGTCAACACTGCCTTAACATAAATGTAGGTGGTCATTCTGATCCCAATGGTTGAGTTTGAAAGTTATCAATATTTGTAGCCATCAAACTAAAGTACTTCTAACCCCTTGCCAATGATTACAACACTCCCTTCCTTCTATAAACCCCTTCCAATCTGTCACAACACCCTTCCCCTCATTACACCCCCTCACCTCTTTTTCTAATTCCATTTTTTGCCTTCGTAAATCATGTACACTTTTATTCCTCAGCTCCAGCACTGTTTTCAGGCTTTCAACCTCCTCTGGTAAATGTTTATACTGTATTGAGCAATCGCTGCCTGTTAACAAAGCCATTATAAAATTAATATTAAATCACAAAAACAAAAAATACAATACATATCAGCAAACATTTGAGACAACATATCGGGAATGATAACTGGAATATATTTTTAGAGAGGTTCCTGAACACTAAACAGTACATAAACATTGGTATTGCTTTAAAAATTATTAACATAGAGGAAAAAATCCAATTAATTTCTTTCCTCCATGTATTAACTATCACACTGATCACGTTTAAAATCCCATGATCCTAATTATAATCACATGATCTCATGATCCAATCAAACTCCTTTAATTTAAAAATTCACCTGAAGTTTCTCATTCGAGTCTTTTTGAAGGACATCCTCGAGCATCTTACATTTGTGTCTTAATCGTTCACATTGAAATTTTAAATTGAATGCGTCATCTTGGAGCTGGCATTCCCGATTCTCTGCAGCCATTCTTTTCTGCTCTTCTTCAATTTCAAACTCATCCCTCATTTTATTTGTTGCAGCTGCATTGTCTTCTTGGAGAAGTCTTTTTTCATCAGCATGCTTTGTTTTTAATGTTTCAGTCAGCTGATCATTCTGCTCAGCTTGGTCAGATAACTGAACAAATGAAACATACAATTACATGCCTATGGTCATGATGACGTCACATCATGACCATATATAGGCACGTCATGACTATAAATGAATATACAATAGTTTTTTTGAAAATTTAATAGTGGGGATAGGCAGAGCATTATAATATTTTCTTACTAGGAAGAACTCAAAAATAGCCAACAGAAGGAATGTGTGCTCTAGCACATATAGTACAAGGAATGGGCAACTGCCAGGGTGACAGCCAATAGAGGGGTGACAGGGGATGGGTGACAGCAAGGACAGGGGATGGGAAACTAACAGCCGAGACATGCAATGTTACGCTCACAGTAGCCGTTTGCCAATTTGCCAACGGTGAATTGAGACACTGCTTGGCCAAAAAAACAAAAAAAAAAACAAAATGGCATCGTTCGCCATAATTTTCATATACACAATATTAATCCTCATCTAGGCTAGGCTCATAAGTATTTTCATCGCATGTGCAGTATATACAGATTTAATCCCAATTTTAACTTTTGGATTGGGTCGTGAGCAGGTTTGCAAAAAAACTTATTTTAAAATTAAAGAAACAAATTTTAAATTTATATGTGGTAATTTACTATATTTCTGACGAATTGAAAACGGTATTTAGGTGAACCCAATATTAAATTAATATTTTATTATAATATGCGCCCGCAGTGGCGTAAAGACAAGTCATGGGGTCCAGGGGCAGGAAAATCTTGGGGGTCCCTTGCATATCAGTATAAGTATTTTCGCTAATGTGACCGGGGTGGGTAATCTCCCACAGATAATTGATAAGACAAAATATTATTTAAGAGTTACTGGGTAGATCCTAATATTATTTGCACACATATTTTTAATTTGAAATTTGTGTGCAACGTATAAATTAGGTCTATGCATAAACGCTTGCATACGTGCAACTTTCATTAGCGCGAATAGGTTACATGCTCTTAATCATGAATGTATTGATCTAAGTTCCATCGAAACTTTGCAAATATAAACAAACACAAACCTATCAACATTATCAAGCCTAACCTACATTTATTAACCCTAAAACACCCTTGTTGATAACATTATTATTATGACCAATCACAGGCCAGAAAACTGCAGTTTTAATCAAACTGCAGGTCAAGAATCAAATACGATATATGACACTTCATAATGCACGTAACCCAAAGTGAAAATGATAAAAATATTTATATCAGTAATTAAATCAAGTAAACCTTGATCTTTCATTACTCAGGTGCATGTGTCTGTTTGCAAGGCTTACACAAAGATAACAGAATCGATAGTAGGCCTAAGTACAGTGTAAATGCAGAACCAGTATGGTCTTTGGTGGTGGGATGGCCACAACACAAGCGTTACCAGGGGTGTAGGCCCTCCCCCACTCCCCCCCCCAAAAAAGGGGAATTCAATAATCAACTACGAAATTCTTTACCGCCCATGCTTATGACTATAAGCAAAAATTCATGAATCACAATGGGGGGATTGCATAAAACTTTTTATGTCAGTCGATTGCGAAATGAAAATTAAAATAGTAAATATATCATTTTTTTTTGTTAATAATTACCTTACTAATTAATACGGTATCAAATACCATCATTTTTTTTACTTTAGCATGCTTCCATCAGGGAGTGGAATGTTATTGTACAATGTCATTGTTTTAAAAATTGACTTATTAAAAGTTGACTTATGGATTAATATAAACATGTCATTCATTATTATGAAATAAAAGTGAAATGAACCCCAAAAAGACCAGCAAAAACGTGCAGAACTTTTACATTTCATTTCTTTATTTTGGAAATGTATTTATATAGAATAACTTTAAAACATACAATTAAAAGAAACCCAACAAATTAAGATAAAGAAAACATGAACAATAGAAACAGAAAATTTTCTTCTTAAACTTTGACAAAATGAGATAAAATGTGATTAATGAGATATAGATTTTTGAACATATAAAAATTTGCAGAAAATATGGAAAAAGGGGTAGATGGTTGGAATTATCAAATTTCGTATGTCTGAGTCAGTCGATTGTTTACGCATCCAAGATAAGTCATGTGACGCCCATCGCCAAATCCGTCTATTAATAGGTTTTAAATGTTATGATTTTTTAAAATACATAAAATGATGCCAAGTAGATTATAATTTTTTTAATTATTTTCACAATTTTGTGTAATCTTTTCAATACCAATAACACATGCAACACTAACAATTAGAAAAGAGTACAAATACCTTGGTTACACAAAACTCCTGATCAAGGCTTCATAGAAAATGTTGGGTTGTAGTAGAAGGCCCCTTTCTAATAAATCTGTCAAAAAGTGTGTTTATGGGATTTTGGTCTACAGTAGTTGTATTTTTTAAATAGAAAAGGTTACCGTATAGTCAAGGCATTGTGGTAGAATGTTTAGTAGCAGTAAGAGGGCCCCCTGTGGCCTCTCTGGGGCTCATTTATACTCAGACCCAGACTGTTTAGGATCGAGAGTAAAGTGCTAGCTAGGCACCAGGGACCCTCCGGGGGCCCTTTTAACTGTGAGCCTGAAGCCGTGTCCCAGTGAGCTCAAGGGGCGTTATGCCACTGTATGCCCGCAATGAATATCTGATGACTTGAAATTGTATTTAGGTGAACCCTTATCAAATCAAATACATAATTAATATACTGTAATTTAATCATGCGACTTATTTGCAGACTACAATATTTGCCTAGAACTCAATTGTTGGTCATTTTGACATTAATAAGCAAATCTGAAATTGGCCAGAGACAAACTCAACATTTAAGACGCCATGTTCTTCCTTTATCTGCGATATATTTATACATTCATCATCCTCATCATTATTATTATTTATTTGGCAATCAAAGTTTAGGACAAAACCACAGATTTATGAAGTGAAAGATTCTGAGCCAGAGTGCACTAAAGTTATATAAAAATAAAAGATCACAAACACAATATGAATATTTAAAATATTTATTACATATGCATACTAATGAGCTTATCATATATACATATATATGAATTTATTTATGTGCATATTAATGCGCTTACACATGCATATTAAAACTTATCAGAGTATATATATAAAAAAAAACAAAAAAAAAAACGCCGCAACATCTTTACCTTATTCAATTTATTCCAAATTTATATTACGGGTGAATTTTGATATGTTTACCGTACTTAAGTTTTTCTTTCCAATAAAAGAAATAGGTAACCTTAAAAAACAAAAGGAAA